ACTTGTACTCGAAACCTTGTCATCCATTTTTTAATACTGCTTCCCCGTGTCTAATATTGAATTACATTCTACCACAGTGCCCAAGTTCTTCATTTACATTAATGTTATTTAGCTGATTACATCTTAATTACAGAACATTGAGGCATTCAGTAATATCTTAACATCTGATAGTCAATATTACTCATAGTCTGTGTAAAGCTGAATGTGATTCATGATTTATAAAAGTTTTTGATCTATCCAGACATCCCAAATTGGTAGGGGCTGTAACACCATTCACTGGACATAACACATGAATCGATTTTAGTGGTTAATATAAGCTGCTTTATAGCTCTCACACAATATCTTATACAATAAAACCTTTTACAGTTGCGACCAGTTTATTCCTTGTGGATGCATCTCGTAACAGTTCTGCATTAATATACGGTTTAGAACCGAAAACGAAATCCCAGGATGCGGTAGTCTTGTGCGATTACTGTCTTTTCCAAATTTATGACAGAATCTTTATCCCTAAGCACCTTGTGATGATGTTCTCTATATTAATTAGCAGTCAATACCTTAGAAAATTAATTACATGAGATAAATACGCCAAATATATCCTCATATGGAGTTAGGTAGAATTATAACTCGTTTGTTCAGAAATTTCTACCGGTCTTGTTAACTACTCCATCTAGTTTTGTCATTTATTTAAGTACTGACAGCTATGTAACTTCATTGACTCTTACAGTGTAGCGCACATGTTTGCAGGCAGTTAGTGAGTTATAATCTAAATGACTCTATTCTTCTACAACTTTAAGTATCTTTCTGTTCAGTTAAGTTTCTATGTGTTTGCTAACCTGACAATCTTACCTTTGAGCTCCTAGTTAATACTTAATCAAATGGCAATAACCATTCAAAAAATACTATTTACACAGCATTCTTCACCTTAATTTGATAGATTAATCAATATACTTGTTTATGGATAGCTATTTCTACATTTAATCTCACAGAATATTGGGATATTGGATTGTTATTACGTGGAATTCATCTAAGAACTAAGTTTTAAAGTCCGGAGGGCAGTAAACCGCTTCCAGTGGACTTGCTTCTTGGTTTAAAAATAAATTGATTCGATTGTTTTTTTTTTGGCATAATCCAATGACATTCGGTAGAAATGTGGATATCATGTGGGTTATGGTGAAACTGTTTCTTAGCAGACACTACATGGGACTTAGCACTGCAGTATGTATATGCCATAGCTGCCTCAAGTCATATTTATTCATGACATTTTAGGCTAAAGATAATGTTATCAGAGGTTGTAAAGTTCTATAAAACAAAGTGAGCGAAATTCGATTGTAATAATCAAGATGAGTATAAAGTATGGACGCATCTGTGTCGTTGCGTCAACCGTAATCTGTAAAAGCTGTTAAGTATACAATTCTAAGACTTTCACAATGATTAAACAACTAAAGTTAGACCGTGTTAGGTGTTTCGCAGCAAATTTTACTCCCAGTGACCAATCTCGTGCCTTGTACAACCTTTAAATGGTTCCATTTGTTCCTTCAGAACATGCATAAAAGGAAGTCTTCCTAATTACAAGTTGATACACCATATAATCATTTTGTGTTCATGGTATCTATGACAAATTACAAATCTTTCATGAAAAATGTTTATGATGTCTTATAATTCGCTATTTTGGCTAATTACTAACTACTGGCTGTATTCACAGTTAACGTAATTTCTGTGAAAATGTTGATATCCTTTTATGCATGAGGTTTCGTCACACAAATATTGGTTTTGCTTATTGATTTATGCATTTAAGGCTGGTCGTAAATTCTAACTTAATTATGCTGGGGATACAAACGGTATTTAAGGACGTCATATCTGGGTACATCTGCATTAGAGCAGATAGAGTAAGTAGTCACAAAGGTGAGGGGGGTTGCTCAATACATCCGGGATGACATGGGAATTAGATCGACGTTGTGGGAAGCCCATGACGGCGGCACCTATGAGGCCGCAGGTTGTGTCATTAACTTGAACAAAGGCACTGTGATGATTGGGGTTATTTATAGAAGTCCTACCAGCCAATCTGACGATTTCGTTCTAAATCACCTCAGGACGTCGAGTAGTAGGAATAGGTGTCTAATAGTAGGCGACTTTAATGCCCCACATATTAACTGGGAGGAATTAACAGCAACTACATCGTACAAATGTTTCAACAGGAAATTCATACTGGCAGTACTTGAATGCGCACTTGTGCAGCATATAGATGCACCAACACGATACCACCCTGAACATGATCCGTCCACTCTAGACTTGGTGCTAACACGCCAATAGGAGGATGTCAGTGACATTAGGTGCCTGGTGCCGCAAAGCAGCAGTGACCAGATAGTTATCACTTTTATGTTTAGGATCCACGCCGTCATAAATAGGTCAACAGCTGCTCGCCCAAACGTTTGGAAAACGAATATACCTGCAATCCGAGATGCAGCAACCCTAGCTGACTGGTCTGTTGGTACACACCAGACTGTCGAGGAAGCTTGGATGGGATTAAGGAATACACCTGATTGCGTCACTGCACCCTTTGTACCTTGGTCTATGCCTCGAAAACTATCGCGTAAACCACCTTGGATTAGTAATGAAATAAGGAAGTTATTAAGAAGACGAAAGAACTTTTGGGACCGGTTTACTGTGACTAGGAAGGATGAGTTTCTGATGGAATACCGCAAATTTCGAAAACTTTGTAGGCATAAGATTGATAAAAGTCGTATAGAGTATGAGAGGCAGTTAGTACTGGATTGTGTGCATTATCCAAAAAGACTGTACTGGTATATCAAACGCAGGACTTAAACTAGTAGTGGCATGCCGTCCCTCATTAGCAACACTGGAGAAGTTGCCGAGTGAGACGAAACAAAAGCTGAAAAGCTCTCGAAATACTTTTGTGATGTTTTCTCGCCTAATCGTACCACTCAGTGGGTGTAGTGAGGTCACTGATTTAGCCACTAAAATGGCCACAATTGTGGTAGAGGATGCAGTGGTTCTCAAATTACCATCGAAGCTAAAGCCAGGTAAATCATCTGGACCAAACGGACTTCACCCTAGATTGCTAATTCCCTTGGCGAATATAATATACATTCCACGTACTAAGCTTTTTTAGATATCTCTGACCCAGGCTACCAGGAACTGGAAAGATGATTTTACAAGCCCCATCTTCAAAGATGGGAACATGCAGTTATATCTAACTACCGGCCTGTAAGTCTGACCTGCATTATACCAAAGGTGTTAGAAAAACTCATAAGGGATCAGCTCTTAGCTCGTATGGAGAAACGTGGCTTACTGGTTTTATTTTATTTTTTGATTGCAGCTTGATTCCACACTGTATTTTTGGTACAAGTATGGAGTTTTCAGCGTGTGATATCGGTAGCCCAAATTCCGCAGGCCGACCATATATATTAGGTGTGCGTCGGCGTGGGCTCGAAACCCGGACCACGTGCATGGTCGGCGAGAGTCCTAACCACTGTGCCACCGTGGAACAGCATGGATTCCGACCAGGACGATCCTGCTTGACAAACTTACTGTTAGCTAGGGAAGATTGGGTAGAGGCCAGGGATAAGAACCATCTACTGGACGTTGTCTTTATCGACCTTAGTAAAGCATTCGATAAGGTATCCCATTTAGGTCTTCTTAGAAAACTTAAACATTTTGGATTAGGCCAACGCTTATGTGAGTGGTTTAGCGACTGCCTGATGGATAGAAGGTAAGGGTTAATGGTGTACTGTCAGGGTAGAAAAGAGTACTAAGTGGAGTACCTCAGGAACTGTACTTGGCCCCTTGCTACTCCTACTATACGTAAATGACGTACCGAAAATTCTTACCTCATCTTCCTTACTATTTGCGGACGATATTAAGATATGGAAAACCGTAAATAGTAACGATAATAAGTTGGTACTACAAAACGATCTAGATAAATTAGCCCAATGGAGTCTGGAAACTGATTCCAAGAAAAGCGCGGTAATGCACGTAGGTCAGAAGTCTTACACGTCGTACTTCCTGGGGACACAAAACTGCCAGATGTTAGGGGACAAAAGGATTTAGGAATTATTGAAAGCCATGACTTAAAAACAACAGCAAGTTGTAATCGAGCCGCAGCTAAGGCTTTTCGAATTCTATGGGCACTTCGAAGGGCTTTCAAACGATTAGACAAGGAAATGTTCCCAGTACTTTATGCAACATATGTCAGACCTCATCTAGAGTACTGCATAAAAGCAGCGATTCCATGCTTTAAAAAAGAGGCACATATCCTGAAAAGAGGACAGGAACGAAATTAGTTAGTGGTATCTCACACCTTTCTTATGATATGAGGATGGAGCATTGAAATCTCTTCCCATTATCATACCGAAGGAGGAAAGGCGACTTAATTTTGGCTTACCGTATATTCAAGGGTGATTCAGGGATTTACTTTCCAAACTTTTTCTCTCCTTCTAGGATACATTTACGAGGTCACCACAAGAGGTTGCTCAAACCGAGGTCGAATAAAATATGTGTGGAGTTTAGATTCCCTCACAGAGTGGTCAACGACTGGAACTCCTTACCTGATTTAGTAGTAACAGCTCCATCAGTGAACGCTTTCAAAGAGAAACTGTATCTCTGCAGAGATATATATCGCGAGGATTAACATAGGCAACAAGAGCATTCTACCCTTACAATCTGAATCAGAAGGCATGTTACACTATCACATATATTATATAGAAGATGCTGGATTACCGTTTCAAATAACAGTTATCTTTTTATGAATAATTAATGGTTGTCTGGTATATGCACAAGGTCTTGAGACCTCCGACATGCATTAAAACCTTGCTGAATGTATTACATAGGAAGTTCAACCCATGATAAGCATGACCGACCTTAACAAGAGTATGGGCAAGAGTTCACTCATATGTTAACATATTCCGGCAGAGACGCGTCTCACTGTATAAGTAACACTGCATACATCGAAACTCGTAACTGGTTAGCTTTTTATAACATACCTGCAGGTTTTAATCCAAAACATATTTCTGTGTAGAATCTTCTATCAAACTCATCACAATAATGAGAACCTTCCTTATATTTCAAGCCATCAGCATATATAATTTCTCCCTAGAAATGTCAAACGATAAAGTCCTACGAACATTTTTGGGATGCCCTCTTTCCCAGGTGGCATGATATTTACTGCCATTTTGGAAGTGCAAAGTTCCTTTCCCATGGAACATGCCATCATACATTTCACCTTCATAGTACGTCCCTGTGGGGAGTGTATATTTTCCAAATCCTTCCAATCTTCAACAGAAATATTCATATTAGACGCTTATTACCTATTATTTCTAGTTTTCCCCTCATATTTATCCCCACAGTATTCCATCGTGTGCTTAAATGTGTAGCGGCGTGCTTACTATAGAGATTGGTAAATTGAAACATTATAACAACCTCAAGTGGCTACAAAATTAAAACAATATATATTTTTAATGAGGTCATGCGAAAAAGAACCAAAAATTCCTAATTTCAGATAGGCACAGGCTTGAGGAAGTCTTTGATTACCACTCTTCTAGAGATTAACCGATGGAAATAACAGAACATGTATTGTGAATTTCTAAATCTATCAAATGTTTGGCGAAAGTAATTTATCTGAACAGTGTCACATAATCAACGTTGGACTTTATAATTCTTCTGGCTACCAATTGTGGAAAACAGTTACAGCTGTTATAACTATTACATTACCTTATGAGGTGTAACTAGTCTGTTATGTACTGGGCTGTTTCTTTTCCTGAAAAGTCCATAAGGACTCCGGTTAGAATAATCAAGTGTTTATATATTGGCCACGAAACGAAAACCTGTCCGGGGTGCCACTGTACTTCCGAAAACGTATGACACTTTAAATTCAACCATTTTACATAATACATTAAGATCACCTTCAGAAAAGCATTCACTGTTGAGTGACAACAAATTTCTGAGTAATCGGCCAATTACAGTGGCGAATTCATGCATTCTTTCTGAAATCGCCTACACTTTAACTGTCCATGAGACAGTCGAACGATGCAAGGGAATTATTGACTGGTTAACCCTTTCGAACCTTCACACTAATGTTACATATTCCGCATTTTCAGAAGCAATAATTTAGGACTTCATTTTCTCCTTCGTCTGGACTGAAATTTAAGGAAAGTGCTTTTGATACTGTGTTGACTACGACAACAGTGTATTCTTCTCTTAAGGCTAACTTGTCTAGCCTCAGAGTAACATCGTGAAACCAGTACCCAAAATAAAACCATAACAGAGGAGTGAAAGAAGTCATTAGTTGATATAAACTACGGTACTTTTTACGAGACTATAATAAACTTCGAAGTTCATGAGATGCGTTTTTCACCTCTGTCCGTTTGGAGCCGAAATAGGTACCAGGTTGGTAGGTTCTCCGTGGCATTCCTACTCATAAGGCGAGCGCTCGACAAGTTTATATGCAATATAAGATACTTCCTTTTTTATCATCACCATTGGCAAGCGATCTTCGGACTACTTACTACACATTTTTATCCTACTATTTTACTAGTGATTTAACATTTTGGTAGTGTTTAATGTAATTAGGAAAGCACGTTTGACAGTCGTGTCGACCGAGGAAATCGTGGCATTATATCTTAATTACGTTATTGGCAAGTAGAACAACCAAATTCTTTATTGACTTTGCATGTAAACTATTATCTGAGAAAACATTCAGGTACTTTTTAGAATGAATTATAGATACTTCGGTATGATAAGTTTAATCATGAAACAAGTACATTCAAATTCAACAGGACACAATATAGGCTTCGGTAATGAAGATAAGAATATACCGAAATGAGACAAAGACCTTACAAGATCTTTATTTCTTAGAGGTTTCATGTCTTACTCCACACAACTTCGAAAATTTACCGGAAGAATCCAACAAGTTGGCAGAAGAAGCGGAGGTCGCAGGATTTTAGGTGATCATAATGGAGACAGCGGCGATGAAGACACCAAATTGATAACAAAAGGCAACCACCGTCGGTAGAGGAAATCTAAGCGAAGGCGCCCCTTTCATACTGCATCTTACATTTTAAACTACATGTTGCATGGATTAGCATGTTAGCGCCAGCCAGACTCGGGTCGAGAAAACTGGAGTGGCGTTCATTACGCTAAACTTAGATCCGCATCACCCTGCTGGGGGTAAAATATACAAATGCTATTTGGCACTAACATCAGTGTTTGCCGATGACTCAGAGACTTTGTGAGGGTGCTCTAACATCCTGCTCCAGACCTTAACTGACACCTACCTTAGACCATTGCTAAGTACTGGATGGAGAGCAAGAAGCGGCAAGTCGCAAGGAACTCTGTCAGCTGAACCGTCAACATATATTTGCCAACTAATATAGAGAGGGAAATGAGGGTGACCAGACATACGATGAGGAGCTCACTAGGCCATGGGATAGAACCCGAATGTGAAGCTACAGATTTTCCATCAGCCGGCGACATAGAGATTATACGAGGGGGAAAAAAAAGCTTGTGGACAGTCGCAAGACTCGTTGATAGTGATGGCCAAGAATGTTACACTGAAGTCCTATTTGTCAGCCGGAATGCGAGAAATATATAGAAATGTGGTAAAGATTACCAGCGGTTTAGGTGGAGGTTTAGTGAAAGACTGTTAGTTCTCATCAAGACTTAATCACAGTGTGATGCTGGTAAAAAACAGTTGTGTAGTAGCGTATACTCACCATTCATATTAACAGATCCTTCATCTAGTGTCGCAATCCTCTTCTTATTTGAGCACATAGAAGCCAGTAACTCTTCAAAGATTTCGAAAACGATGTTGACGTTTGTATTAAACGTAGCAACTACAGCAGTAGCGTAAAACATACAACTAATATTATCGCCTACGTTCTAGACAGGGGAGCAATAGTAAGGTTGTGCAGTAACACCTGGTAGGTACCCCAATCAAACTGTGTACTTTTTTATTACAGCCTTATTCCACACAGTATTTCTGGTACAGGTATGGAATTTTCAGCATGTGATATCGGCAGCCCAAGTTTTCCGGGCCAACCATTGATATCAGGTGTGCGTTGGCAGGGGATCAGACCTCGGACCATGTGTATGGTCGGCGAGAGTCCTAACCGTTATGCCACCGACGCACTCTATGCTCCTCTACCACAGATATTAAAATAAGTACTTCCCTCAGACTTTTCCAAGTTGCGTAGCATTTATTAAATCAGGTAACTTTAAGTGTTCACCTTTTTTTAAAGAGATTCTATTAAAATCCAATAAATTTACCCATATTTGTATTTAGGTACCCGGAAATCTCACTATTAGGTTCCGAGTGGAACATATGGCTTCAGCAGAAAATTTCCACTTAAACAATTTTTCTTCAGCCTCTTTAACAGAGATCGCAACAGTACATTAGCTCTTATCTTCTCCTTGTCACCCTCGATCCCACGATCAATTCACCATTTCCTATTCTGGTCCCAATCAAATGATGTTATGGTGTGTGACTTTATTTTATTTATATATTTTTTTTGATTTACAGCTTGATTCCACACTGTATTTTTGGTACAAGTATGGAATTTTCAGCATGGATATCCGTAACCCAAATTTTGCAGGCCGACCATAGATATCAGGTGTGCGCCGGCGTGGGCTCAAACCCCGAACCATGTGCATGGTCGGCGGGAGTCCTAACCACTGTGCCGCCGACGCACCGACTTCATTCAATGGTCTTCTCAGCCCGTGTCCTATCCATATCCTTTTTAGTTTATGTACTTTATGAGAAATAGGTTCTTGGTTCGTTCATTCTTTCCGAGAGTTCGCTGCAGCTTATACCTCCTAGCCATCTGATCTTCAGTACTGAGTGGAGGCAGATGTTGATACAGAATAACTTTGTATAAGGCGAATGAGACATACTTTTTTCCAGCCAAAATGATATACGGTATACAGTAGCATATATGATATTTCGTGAACATGTGTTCAGCTGTGCTGTGTGTATAGATAATATAAAAACGAAAAATGAAGCAATAAGAAGATATGAATCAAAACATTTGATGGCTAAAAGAAAGTAGTGTTCGTCAGTTAATATACGAAGGAAGCAGTAGGCAAATCATATGCATAATGAAGCCTGAATCAATATATCTGTGTTGTATGATGCAACACCTAGCCAGGCCAGTAAAATTACATCTGGATGGGGATTTTCGAAAACTTATGGTGTTATGATGATGGACTTTAGGTCGAATTAAAGGGAGGAAAGTTTCAATCTACTTCTACTGAGTTCTACGGTTTAAGTGGATGGATGCTGACGTCTATGCCATTTATGTAAGTGTTTATCCTGTAACTTCCGAAGTACCTGTTGTACTGATATCAGAAATGAATTGAAACAAAAAGTAGGTCGTCCAAAATACGAGATTCATTTCAGGTTCAGAAGCACAGAGAGATGTCAGATACTTAACTAGGTGGGGATTGTTCAAGCACGACTGAACATCACAGCGGGTTTAATGGATGGGATGCCTGACAGCATACATTCGGCTTAACAAATCTTCTAAAACGGTGCAGGTTAGGATCCATTGTTACGTGCAGAATGCAAAGTGTGGTGTAATAGTTTTTGGGGAGTTATTCACCGCTGCAACGGTAATTTTGTTAATGGTTAACATGATTTCGAAAATTGAAGAACATTTTCCAGTCATTTTTTCACCTATTTTTTGACTGTCTAGTAAAGTATACATAAAACTACGTCGTGTCAAATACCTCTACGCCTACTGATACATATATATTATCGTGGAGTCATTATCGCAGAACCTTGATGACAGATACAAATCACTTCAGAAGTAAGTGTTGCTTGTCAGACGAAGTTCACACGACCACTAAGTTTTCAATACTTTAGAAAATCAGTAAGTCGCATCAGTGTATTTGAGACAGAAAAACATTACAGAGAAGGAACCAGTCACGCTAAAAACCAAGTTTAATTATTATTATTGTCAACAAGTCTCATAAACCGTTAATGACCAGCTCTTGCTATGCTGGGCCTCACTCTATCCCTCGAAGATTTTCAGAAACGCTTAGTACTGACCGACGCAAAAACCAAAACACTGTTTGGCGACTCAAGAATTATTTATTCTAACGCCAACTAGCACTACTGCTTTTACAGAGTAAGGTCTAAGAACAAATATTACAACAATAAATCACGATATCACTTCTAACAGTTTTTTGATCTTCCTTCTGAATAGCGACCGACGAGACGATGACTGGTGGATTGATGACTCCGCGAAAATATGGAGAAGTTGGATTTGAGCAAACAACCATGAATTGATCGTTCAATCTTCAACTACATTGACAATTATTACTAATGAGTTGTGAATACACCTTTTTAATGTAGAGTTT